GAGTGCTGTTGGCGTAGGAGGGGGTGGGAGGGAGGGATAAAAAAGGCCTTTACCCCTTTGAATTATTGTGTTTTGTCTTCCTTGGATTCTTTTTGAAGAGGTAGTAAATATCACCCTAGAATCCCCTCAACTGGAGAATGGGGTCCAGAGGGAAGACATTAATGGCAACAGGTCAGATCCTTCTGGCCTTTGACCTGGACTAGAGGGAACCAGGAAGTTACACTTATATCACTTAGAAGCTCAGTGGACGTCCTTGGTTACCAGATCTGACTGGGATGGTCTTAAGCCCGCTGATTCTTAAACGGCTCACTCTTCTCGTGGCCAATTATTCTTGTTCTTTCACGAATTCATTCATCTGAGAGCCAGAGCTAATGCCCCCAATCCCATGGGTAGCCCTCTGCAGGCTGAGTCCCAGGCAGGTATTCCGGATCCAGTGCGTTTTATTAACTTGCTGTGTGACTCTGTGCAAGTCACTCAACAACTCTGGGCCTCAGTTGTATTTAATCTATAAGATCTATAGAATGTTGTCTATAGCATCCGGAGATTTTAAAGAAATATACAATACAGTCCCTAACCCCAAGTATTAGGTGGCAAGATAGATACATATGAAATAATACATATATATGTCTCTGGAGAGAGAGAGACAGAGAAAGAGACAGAGAGAGATCCGATTGGATCAGACTCAAGATTCTAGTTCTACTCTAACACAACTCATGACAAAATATGTTCTGAGCATCAGGTTTTCCCACCTCTAAAATGGGTATAATAATGGTGCCTACCTCATGGGATTTGGGGAGAATTAAATGAGTTTCCCTATCTATAGCGCCGTGCCTAGCTCCTGACACACTGTAACATACAACATATGTTAATAAGTGAGTTTACCTGCGCAGACATGGAGGTCTACACGTGGGTACGGGGGAAGGGCATCCATTGCTGACAGGCTGTGGGACAACCAGGAGGGGAGGAGAGACTCAGGGGAGCAAATTACAGTGCAGGCCTTTCATCTCCATCCCTCAACGTTTCCGCCAGAGAAATTCTAAACCCCCTTTCAGTTCTGGATTAGGTAGCTTCCTTAGCTTTCACTTTCCTCCCTGCCTCACAAGGTGCCATGAAGGTGAAAAGTCATGCGGGCAAAGTTCTGTACAGATCGCAGCAGAGCTCTGCCAAGAATCCAGGCAAATGCGGGCAACTGTCCGTGGCTGTCCCAGCGGGAGGCCGGGCCTGGGAACCTCCAGGGACTCCTCTCCAGGGCAGACTCAGGCTTTGTGGAGCCTGAAAGTACCCAATTTGGGGTTCTGGAAGCATTTGGGGTTCTGGAAGCACGGCCAGGGCTTTGTTAGCTCCCTGCCTGCAGGTCCTCTGACTGCCCTCCAGAAGGGCTATTCTCATTGTTGCCCATCTGACATTTGAACAACAGAAAAGTGAGCCCCAGGCCCCGCCCTTCCCTTTGGCCCCTGGAGCTGAAATGACATGTTGGTTGAGACAGGAACTTTGAGAAACCAATAGCTGTTGTTTTACTGGGAAAGGGAGAGTGGAGGTGGAGTGAGACCCTCACCTACTCAACTGTGTCCCCACTTGGCGGGTCACCCCAGAGATCGGGGCTCCCAGCCTGGCTGCTCCCAGAAGGCCCAGCAGGCCCAGGCCAGCAGGGACCCACATCTGTCCTGGTCAGGGTGCTGAGGACTCCAGTCCACAGCACAGGCAGCAGGCCAGGTTGGGGAGGGGGATATGCAAAACTCATTAGTGGGTTTTCTCGAGCCCAGAGCTCTACCTCCCCACCCAGCCCGGCCCATCACTCAGTCCTCTGATTCAACCCCCAGCCAGTCTGTGGCGTCCTTAGAATCATGGTATTTGAGGCAGAGAGGAAAAAAAAAACCAAGGAGCTGTTTACTTATACAGTGAGTGTGAAGCTCAGCCCACAGCACAGGTGTGCCAGACAGGTGTGTAAACCAAATTAAAATTCAACTCCAAATCGCTGTCCCACAGGGATGATGGGAAGTTGATCTCAGCCATCACTGACTAGCAGAACCTGAGAGGCTCCTGTTTGCCCTGAACATGAATATCAATGCATGAGGGTCCCCACAGACATCTCTCTTCAGGCCTTGTGGTGCCTTGGAGTTGGTGGCTCTATGCTCACCTGGGGCACGGGACTCCTGGCTGAGTCTAGAAGCCCAGCGCTGATCCACCCACCTATGATCACCAGGCCCCATTTTCTTCTGAGGCTTTGCTCCCAGGGTGATGCCGGGGAGAGAGGAAGGAGGGGTTTCACAGATCCCTAGCTTCTCTCCAGTACGGAGGAGGGGGAGACAGCTAAACCTCTTTTTATTCTGATGTGATATCCCTATCTTCTCTCTCCTCCTCGGGACATCTGGTGAAACCTCTTCAGGGAGTTTAAAACCACTGACTTAAAAACATTCTGTTGTCTGCCCTGCAGATTCCGCTAGAAACAGGGTTGGGGTTGGGCAGCGGGGGGTACAGGGAGCAGGAAACTGTAGTTGCTCAGTGAATTATTCCACTGTCCTTATTTGGGGAAGGTTGGCTCTCATGGTCTAGAAAAGGAAGGTCTTTTTCAAGACTGGGCACAGGGTGAGCCCTGTTTATTCTTCTAGCCAGGCCTGCCTGGAATTTCAGTCCCTAAGCACGGGATCACCGGGGATGAGGTTTGCCAGACCCGCTTCTAGCCCAGGTGTCGTTCATGCATTCAGCACTTCTCAGAACACCTGGTGAGTCCAACGCCAGAACCTGCCCATGTCAGCAGGAGAACAGAGCTCCTTGGAAAAGTCCCGGGCCCAGGCTTTGTGTTCCAGTCTCCCGTGTTTTCTCCAGAATCCTCAGAAACCAGACAGGAGGGAAGGAGAAACAGCAACCTCTGCAACCCTCCTGTAAGGGAAGCTCTAGGGAAGTGGGGAGCCGCTCTGTCCCCACTCAGGCTGGGCAGCCGCCGAGACAAGGGGCTCTCCAGCAGGACCGCCAAGGCCCTTTCCAGCCACACACTCTCCACCGAGTCCCTCTTGCTCTTCCTTTGCTTTGGATTCCTGAGCCAACTGCTCTTTCCCCAGAAATCTAATTACACAACTAAAGGGACAACCCCACCCCCACCCCAACACACCCCATGGGCATTTCCTGTTAGGCAAAGAGACCCATTAGCCCTGCAGAGCATTCCGCCCTCCTCTGACCAGTAACACACCCCTAACCCTTACATTCCCCGGGGAGAAAATTCCATGCACGTGCATCATGTTCCTCCTAGGGTCCCAAAGAGCTGCTTGTGTTTCCTGGTGGTTGGCGTTTTCATTCTTGATTCCAGGAGAAATCAAGACTCAGGTTCCTGGACTAGCCTTGGAGATCAGGACCCAGCCCCCCTAGCCTGTTCATTTCTGGGCTTTTAACATATATATATATTATAATATATATCATA